AGAGAGAGAGAGAGAGAGAGAGACGAAAAGTATCAATAATATTCTAATTCGCGCGCAGTCTTGCGAATGCGTAACGCAAAGATATATTTCTTTTTCGCGCATTTATCTACTTAGATCGTTTCGAGTCATCCAAAGTCAATTTTATTTTCTTATAATTTATATACGTATGTACAGTCATGGACATATCGGTTGCGACATTTTCATAAATTTTTATTATATATTTAATGTATGTAATATATATTTTATATGCAACTATAATATTTTACAAATCACGATGTACTATCATTAATCTAGAAACATACCAATCGTGGTTCGCGTTTGTAAAATATTAGTGCGTTTGGGAATTTATTAAAAAAAAAATGTCGCAACCGATATATATCCACGACTGTACATATACCTATATGTATCTAAAAGGATCTCTAGCGACAACTTGAATTACAAGGAAAATCCTTATGGTTTGAAGAAGTTGAAAAACGTTCTCGCGAGTCGCATTATACAAGAAAGATCGCGCATGTATATATATATGTATGTACATATTTTGAAAAGGCTTACGTCAATAACATGCTAATGCACTAACAGTAAGAATTATCGTAGAATGGACTATGTTACGGAAGGTTAAAACTTGTCAAGTTTGCGCCTAGCTATGACATCACGAGTTGTGAATAATTAGAGGAATTATACAAATAATCGATCGATAAAACAAGATTTCAATAGCATCGATCAGCACTGAACGGAAAGTTTCCTTTATTATATCGTAATAATTTAAGATGACTACGCGCGACTTTTTTTTACAACTGTAATATAACTGTATCGGTAGACAAAAAGCGTAAGATTCTGTAATACTTGTATGTGAAAATGAATCGAGATTACGATAAATAATCGATCACGTTAAATACTCGATTAATCACGATAAATAATCGATTACGATAAATAATCGATCACGTTGTGATCGTCAACGATTTATTGTTTTATATATGTATAATATATAAAACAATTTAACGACAGCGTCAATCGCGCGTCAGTTAACTCAGATTTACAAGAGATCTTAACACAGATAAATCGTATCAGGAATATACAATATATTATCCTTGAGCAACATTAGATGCGAAGCGCGTCGTATCTGATATCTGAAAATGACCTTCATCTCTCGATCTCCTCTCTAAACTCAGGGCTAGACGGTTAATTCATATATGTATGATTAACATACACCGCGCGTTTTGTATTTTGCATTTCGCAATTTACACTTATTTGAATGTTTTAATGCATATTTTTGCCAGTCCTATCTATACACCCTCCATTTGATTGATCATCTTCAAAGTCTGTATTATCGGATTTACTCGAATACTTATTTGAGCTTGCAAGAGATTCGTGAAAAAAAAAATACGGAAAGAGACTTTGCTCGGATATCTCGCGATGTCGACAGCCTAGCAGCAAAATTTTCAGTGCAATTCGCGTGACCGAATCGTGCTGTCGCGCGCTCGCGCAGAGCTGGGTGACGCAACGAATGACGCGATCGCGCGCGATGCTTCGCTGGCCAATGGAGACACAGGTGTAGGCCATCGAATTTTTCGTCAAATAAATGGCCATCGTCTCACGACGTGATCGCGCGATCGAATAATTTTCGACATCGCGTGCGCGCGATATAAAATTGCATTATCGTTTACAATTACGGGGCACAGTCCGCTCGGATTCTCCGACATGCGACATATGATACTGGTCTAACGTTGTTACATTATCAATGGTAATCGACGGTGCTTGAACGCTCGAGCGGTAATCCGCGGCCGATCCGGCATAGGTAGGCCGGAAATCAAATATGTATGAAGCGTGATATCGCGAAACTCGCGATTCCTTCCTCGTGTCTCGCGCGTCTTTCGCACATACATATTTATTATACATATCGAATATATTATAGAGATTCTCACGCGACAATGTGGTCCCGTGCTCTTTGCGGTTAAAACATTTATTGGCAAACAGGGACTATATATATTATTAGCTGTATATTACCGCAGGCTAATAGAGACACAATAAAACGCAAGGTGGATTTTGTATTGCGATAACAATACATACTTATCATTTTGCGTAAGCAATGCAAGCTCGACGTTCGAATGACTTGCATCTATCACTATATAGAGGATATACTTTGCATGGAAATGAATCGCGCGCGTCGGGCGTTCGTCGATCGATCGCTATCTCTCGATCAGAATTAGCCATTGACAATATTCGAATTCCCGAATTCGAAGTCGTGCCTTCGATTTCGCAATTAACTTGCCGCGTACTCTTAACTCTCCGTCTTACCAGTAAAACGCAATTTTATCACCATTTCCGCTCTTCACATTTTTATCGAGTAGATTGAAGCTTATATTTGTCGATGCTCCCTCCATCCACTTAATGAAAATGTCACCTTTGCTCAGATCGAAATTGTACGAGAAAAACTTGTCATCCGTCGTTGGCGTTTCCCAATAAAATTGTTTGGCAATTTCACCCCAGAACTGCTCCGGCTCCTTTATAGATCTGGGTAAAACAGAAATGAATTCCAGTCAATTCGAGCTACACGATCAAATATTTCGTTACATATATATATATATATATATATATATATATATATATATATGTATATATATATGTGTGTAACGAAATATTTGATATATTTATATATATATATATATATATATACATATATATATATATGTTTTCTCCTCGCTTGATCTTTAATTGCGATACATGAAAACAATCCATAAATGTTTTACATACAATATATATATTTAGCGATATATGTTTAACAATAAGTTTCAGAGAGGTAATCTAATTACATATATATATAAATTTTATGTATGTGTGTGTGTGTGTGTAAAATATCAGTAATTTTTATATATACTCAAATTATTTCTCTAAAACTTATTGTTAAACATTGCCATTGTAACAAGATTCGAGCTGGTAGTTTCACGGCAGTTTAACGAATCGATTCACTTCTCCTTTCTTACGTAACGCGATTCTTCATTCTACTTTATTTACAAATTTATGCACGTTCGGTGCACCCGCGAATTGTGCACATTATTACTGCCGTTTCCGCATTAATTGGACAAGTTCGCGCGCAGATGGAATACGTTACGGATGAAATAAACAGATCGCAAATCTATTATACATACGAAGGCTATAAATCTATGGGAACAAAAAGACTCTCTCGTTTGAAAAAAAGTTCGCTAATTGGGTTCGTGGATTCGAATAATCTGCACGCGTAATTGAAAAATGAAATGAAATGCAAGAAAGAGGAAGAGACAGAAAAGGAGAGTAGCGGTACGATATTCATCGCATTTTCAGCTGTCCGCGGCGCAGAGCGCTCTTTCCACCGCGGAGAAATTTGTCCCACCCCTACGGGATCGATATCGCGCTTCTATTCCGGTGCCGTTTATAGAACGTTCGCATTAGGACCTCTGATCAATCTCAATTCCCAAAACGCTATCTGACTCGAAGATCGTTTATAGCGTCAACCCGAGTCAACCCGATCGATATGCATACAAAAACGTTACGCGCGATATTTTCTTCTCCGCCGTAGGAAAGTATAAAAGCTATATAGTCTACAATTGCGTAATCGTAGTCATAAGTGGTTGTGGTTGTAAGAACAAATTATAATCAAATATTTTTTTTATTGTGATTGGCAAATTTTTACGACTGCAACCATTTACAACTACGCTTACGCAATTGTAGACCGAGCTTCAACAATTAACTCGACCGTTGTATTGACGCATCATAATAAACCAGCTCTTCTCGAAGATCCTGCCGAATCGCGTTTACTTTGCCGTTCGTTATTGATTTCAAATTTCGATTGCCAATTTAAAGAATATAACACCTTTGACATTTGCCGCGGTCGCATCTTTCTCGCTTATTCGCTGTTATTGTTTTTGCCCTTCGTGCACGTCGTTTTTTTTTTTTCACCAATGCGCAGCGACACTTTTCGACGTTCGACTCGGTTGCTTCCAAGACGTGTACCTTCCGAATAATGCGCAACAATGACAGCTTTCTCGTATATATATGTATGATATGTATATGTATACGACATTGAAATTCCATGTTTTTGTACTCACTTTTCGTGCATTCGCTTGTATTGTTCCATGCTAGCGCAGTGCGCCTCCCTTGCAAACTCCGGATTGGGGTAGTATATTTTCTCTGCCATGTTTCACTCTCTCCTTCTCACTTTCCAGATCCCTCTCTCGTCGTCGTCGTGTTCGAATTCTCGATCACGAGGGCTTCTTACAGACTGGAGAACGAAACGCCCGTAAAAACAAAATAAAGGATCTGTATACCTAATACCTGTAGCGCGACGCGCTGCACGAGACGCTGGGGTAGCGACTAAGCTCGCGCAGGTCGCGGAGAAGTCGCCTCCACAGCTTTCCACCACTTCGGCCTGACCGATAAACCACGAAAACGCGCGCGCAAACGCGATCAACGGGCGGGCGAAGCGGTGAACGGCGCCGACTGCGCGTCGAGGTCGCGGAGCGCGCGCGGTATGTCATGGTGCAGGTGAACGCGACGGTGAGGGAGCGCGGTTGTGAACGCCTGCAAATCACCCTCCTGCGTCATACTTAACATTTACGTCATTTTTTTTTCCTATTTGATATATGAGCTGTGTTGCTTCACGATGATCGACAACTCTCCTTTTTTCTCGCCCTTACAGCGTTTTCGGACGGAGCGGGTTTGATCGCCCCGACGAGAGCATGCCGATTAATAACGTCACATGCGCTCTATTTTAGATTTCTGATTGGACGAGGAGAGCGTGCGACGTTATCAGTCGCTCCGGGGGAACGATCAAACCCGCTTCCCGTCCGAAAACGCTATTATGATTTATGACAAGAGCACCGACGAGGTTACATCACTAAAAAGACAGTTGAGTCCTACGGGGTTTCGCGACTTCGCGTAACTCGAAAAATTCACTGTACGCCAACTCTGCGGGTAATCGAAGAACGATGGTATTACCAACGTGATTTTGGTTGTACCGAGGATAACAAAATATATATAATCACTATTTTATCGACAGAGATATGTTTATATTATACTTTTAAATTTTCGCAACGTTTGCCGTACGGATACACATATTTTTTAATTTTCAGAACGTTGCTGTACGTAATACGTGTATATACGTACAGCAAACGTTGCGAAAATTGACAAATATTATTATAACAAACTTTTTACTGTCGATGATAAATTAGTGCAGATTTGATTGATCGATGATCGTGTGTTTGTTATCCTCGGTACAGCCAAAATGGTTGGTAATGTCGTCGTTCTTCAATTACCCCCGGAGGCCCGGGCCCACTTGGCAGTTACGAAAATTTACCCATGACGCCCATGGCCGACCATAACCTCGTCGGTGTAGGATACATACATATGTGAGTTTGTAGTTTGTTTGCGCGTTCGTATGACGGTTAAACAGATTGGATCGATTGGGTGTTTTTCAAGTATTTTGAATGCCAAAAGCTTGCGTTCGTCGATTTTTGTGACTCGCGTGGACAACAGTTAAATTTATCGGGCTCTGTAAACGTTATTATCTTCAGTCTGTGATGTTAAAGAATCTATTTTGTTCAAACTACCTTCTCTGTTATATCGTCATAAGAATATAAAATACACATCCTAACTCGCATAAACATTCAACATTTCGATAATAACGTTAGAATAAACGCTGCAAAAATCGTTTTTTTAACATGCATTATCAGCATTATGATGACCAAGAGGAATTTGAGCCAAGAATTACACCGAAACCTATAACCAAACTCGATGTATGTTTACTTTTTCAAATCATTTTATCAAGTCAAATTTTTATTTGTATAATATCTTATTAATATATATATATATATATATATATAAAACGAAAATATTGTAGAAATAATTATAGACAATTTACAGTGCTTAGTGGGGCCGATTGTACCAGAGGTATCTTTGATCGATGAAAACCCCATAGCGAGAAATCCAAATGATGCGAGTGCCAATTTACCGCCAGCAAGATCGGCGAGACCAGCACAAATCTCTGATAATACCATGGAAGTCAATGTGATATCGCCCGTTTCACACAGTCGTAATTCTTATGCTACATGGAGAGAACAGAATTATTCTAGAGAGATTAATTCTACAAGAACAATACATGTTTCGCCATTACATAAAAATGTTTATAACTATAATACCACGTCATCAGACATACAAGAGCGAGCAAAAATTAATGATAAACAAGAAAGACTGCAAAACGTTAACAAGAATGATAGAATGTATGAGAAAAGTGTGAAATTTAAATATTCTAATACAGGGGATAATTTTTATCATCCTGGAAGTCAGACTGATTTATTACCTTCAGATAAGAGATCCTCGTCTTCTGATTCTCCACAAAGAATTTTTATTGTTGATCGTAGGGGAATGTCTAGCAATACTACTTCGGACATTGTCAGGGAAACACCTCAACAATTTCATGTACCCAACTACTCAAATTACAATATAGACAATAATGAAACAGTGAAAACCTTAGTGCAGCTTGTAAATAGTCAAAATGAACAGATAAAACATTTACAACTCCAGGTAGATCGACTGATAAGAGAGAGAGAGGAGAGAATGCAGGAAGAAAATTTTAGAAGCAAATCGACATGCTTGTATTCGCAGCCCCTTGCAAATCCGGTATTCAGATATCCGATAAATTGTTACGATTCTGCTCTTGCATCTTCTCTCGCGCAGTCCCAAAGTCAAGGTATAAAAAAAAACGTATCCCCGCAGAGTACATGTGTTATGGAGAAACAAGGTTTAGAAAACTTTGGTGAAGGTAATAAATTGGAGACAGCGTTGTTGGAACAGCAATCAAAGAAAGCTTTTATGGAGCAAAAAGTTTCGATCGGCGTTATGACAAGTCTCGAGTTTACCGTGCAAAATAGCCCGTTCCTAATAGACTCCGAAATATGTGAGAAGAGGGAAGCTCACAGAGAGAATAGCAATAACAGTAGGAATGCTGTAAACGCCGTAAATATACAACACGATACAACAGACACTATTAATAGATATAAGAATACATTTGCGCGCAAACCTGGAGCAGCGCAATTGGAAAACATCGTTGAGGATTCGGAAAGTTACTTATCCTCTAGCCAACAGCAAAGTAGTAATTTCAACACGAGTTCTTCCGCGAAGGAATCTTCGAAAATGTATCAACATCCTTCTACAGGTTTAAATCAGGGGGGAGCGCGCGTGGAACTATATATAGGGAAAGATGGTAAGATGGTAGACGAACGAATGCCGAGTGCCAAGGAAACGTCTGTGAACACATCGATGAACGTAGATTACAATCCCACTGAAAGTGCGAATTGCAGTAAAGCGCTCGGTGAGCGAACGAACGATTACGTTACGGTGGACGAGAGAAAGAATATCTATAAGACAAACGTTAATGAACGTGCTTTGCGTGATGCACATTTACCAGCGACAGATTACTATCATAATTATAGGAATAAAGAGTACGGTGCTAATACCAGGCAAGTTAAAGACGTAGGTGATAGCATGATTCTGAGTGGAGGTGATCTGAGGATAAACGAGAGACCTCCACCAACTCCAGAACCAAGTATTCACGTTGAGATGCAAGAGTATACGAGTGACGAGGAAAGTGAAGGCAAGTTAAGGCATACTCCCAAAATCCACGTTGAGATGCAAGAGTATACGAGTGACGAGGAAAGTGAAGGCAAGTTAAGGCATACTCCCAAAATCGGCTGGACTTTCTACAAAAATGTTCTAGGGCAGATTAATGAAATTTTACAAAATTCTGATGTTACAAGCGACGAAGATCAAAATCATGCTAAAGCAGTATGCAATACTGAACAAGAGAATGATACGGAAACGACATCGAACCCAGTTAAAGAGGCGACTTTCGAACAAATTCGGAAACTTGGAATTAGTCTAGAAAACAATGAGCATGGGGAGTTCAATGGTAACAAGACGTATGTACCTCTGTATTAATTATAATTTTAGAATATAGATATAATTAAACTTATGGATTTAAATCTGTGAGTTATTTTTGAAATAATAACTCTGCAATAAGTTGCTATTAAGGCGACAATAATGTTCAGTGTAAAATAAATACAGTGAGCTACTGTTGTACGGTAGCTCATTAACTTATTTGATACATAAGGCATTCTTTGTTACTTTGCGACGCATGTAAAAGATCCATAACTTGTTACTTTCATTCACTAGCTATATTACTTTATATAACGATAATGATGATGATTATATGATTACCAAGGGTAAATTTTAATCAATTTTCTTTTTCAAGGCTAAACTTTGATTCATCTTTTTATCCTCGTTTGGATCGTCAAGCAAATATGACATATGCCAGTAGTGTTGTAAACGAAACAAACGAAAGTATACACATGAAGGCGTTGGCATTAAAATATTTAAGTGACGAGCAACTGGCCAACATAGCATGCCACAAACAAGAATCTTCGAAACATTTTATGCTCAGCAATATGCAAAGGACCATGGATCGGAATGTATCGTTAGCTACAATGCGTTATTTAGAAAGATACCAACTTCTCCCAGGAAAGAATAACGAAGCAGAGAGTAAGTAACGAGCGATGAAACAGTACACACACACGCTCAATCAAGTATGCGTCATAACGTAAATAGAATTAAAATAGCCAAATGGAAAAGTAATCAAATTATGTAGATTTGTCTCGCGCGGCGGTTATTATCGGCAACACTCATATGTGTAAATTATTTTTATTTATTTTTTTCAGATGCTGATAAAACATGCGACAAAGTCTTATCTGAACACGAGTTTAGATCGGCGGCTGCAAACAATAATTTTGCGCAACGTCGATTCCCTTTTGTACAAACATCTGGAACCACTTGTCCTAGTAGAATACTAAATATTTCAGCTTTAAGGCAACAAGGAAACTTAATATACCATAACTATTGACTTACAAAATCTAAATTAAGTTACATATGACAAAGAAATCAATATAAATACTCTTTATTATATACATGACATATTTTCATAAAAAATCGTATTAATAAAAACTTGAATGACTTATAATTAGTAGAAATTGAAATCTGACTTATTGTTAGCGGAGACTTGAACACAACGGTCTGAATTTCTTTCTTTTAAGAAAAAAACTTATTTAATAATGTGATGAAAATTTACAGGTATGTAGATATACATACATACATACATACATTGTACTTTGGTATAGATAGGTGCAGTTTAAAGCGACAAGAAAAATTATTATAAAATCTAAATTAAATTATATATTACAAAGAAATCAATATAAATACTCTATTATATACATAACATTTTTATAAAAATTGTATTAATACAAACTTGAATAATTTATAATTAGTAGAAATTTAAATCTGACTTATTGTTAGCGGAGACTTGAACGCAATGGCCTGAATTTTTTTCTTAAAAAAAAAATTATTTAATATATATATGATGAAAATTTGCAGGTACCTACAAATACCTACATATATACGTTGTAGTACTTCGGTGTAGATAGGTGTAGACGAGTGCGATTGTCATTGCTGTGACCAATCCATAGATGGCGCGCTCGCTGCATCTACTACGTCATCGGTCATACATTCATATGAACTTGGTTAGAAACACTGGATGTACCTTTGCCTTTGCGTACGTCATCTCTTTTTCACAGAAAAACTTTACAAAAAATAGCGAAGAACAGTAACTCCATAGCTTTAAGGTAATTATATTTGATGCTCTCTATTGCTATGCGAAATTATATTACTTGCTGAAAACATTCAGATACACCATAATGATATAACCAAGTATAATATACTTTGACATGTTATCTACATTTGCTTTCCAGATGATCACAGACGTGCAGTTAGCTATATTCTGCAACATTCTAGGAGTTGCGCTGTTTTTCTTAGTCTTTCTCTTCCACTACATAAATGCAAATTACACGAAATGAAGAATGGAGAATTGTAATGCTCGAAGAAATCGGCTTAATATAACCTATCCTATGTTGCTGGATCATCAGCTGCGAATCAGTTTGTACATGTTTCCTTCTCATTGATTGTAAAATATCCAATATGTTATTTTACAATTCAAAAATGTCAGATCATTTCATTGCATATCGCATGACAGATAAAAATTATATAATTGTTTTCATATAAAAATATTTCTAAAAAGATGACTTTTATATTATACCTTTATTTACATACCATGTTTCCTTTGTCATGTGTGTGTATGTGATTTTTATTTTTTAAGTAATATAAAAATATAAGTACGTAAATACAAATGTGACTTTTCACAGCAATATGTGAAACTTGTAAGATATAAACAATGTTGCAAGGTATAAATTCATTAATCAGTTTTAATTATTGCTTTATGATATATATCTTGAACAATATATTTTTCATATTGTTTAGGTTCAGATTATCATCGTATTTCAAATTGAATGCTTAAAGAAAATTAAATTGAAATTTATAATTGCAAGTTTTAACATAGTCCATATAGGCAATCAGATGTTTCAATAATTTGTTTTATTGTTTGTTCTATATATAACTTGATGCAAAAGATATAAAGTATACTCACACAACACAAAGCCCAAAATCGAGATATAAGATGTCTTAAAAACGCCTTATAAACACATCTCTATTTGTTGAATCTAAAAGATGTCTTAAAAGACACATACATCTTATGTCTCGATTTTGGACTTTATGTTGCATGAATATATACATCTTATAATTACTAAAATTATAAGAATAAATTTATTATAGATTTTAATATAGAATAGGTTTATTATCTTATATATTATATAATATATAAGATAAATTATAAATTTATTAAAAATTTAAAAATTTTGTCAGAATGATAAAAGTTAAACTTATATCTTGCGTAAAAATGATAAACAAGTATAAGAGGAAAAAGTGTATCAAGTATAAAAAGAAAAAGTGGGAGTGCAGATCTCACCTTGCATACAAGATAATCGCCACACTGATGGTAGGGGGTCGCCGTGGCCCGCCGTAATATATGTAATGTACGCGTTGAAATAATCGACTCGAACGTCTTCAAACGTGGAATCATTTGTGTCGCGTTCTTAAGTTTTACAGCTACTTCGGTTTATGTTATTAATTATCATGAATTATGAGGGTAATTTAATTAGAATATGCGTGCTGTTTTGCATGTTGAAATAAAATTTGACTTTATTATTAAAACGTGCATATGTTTTAAAAATGAAGAATTTTAATCTGTGATATTTATTTAGATGCAATCTTGTAGAATAACAATATCATACAAAAGTGCGTTATTTTACGTTTTTTACATTTGTGTGTTATCTCTAATGAATATCCTACGGAGTTGAAATAGATCGTTCAACAATTCGCCATTCCAAGTTACGCGATTTGGCAACGTGCGATCAATTAAAAATGAACCAAGTAATAATTTAAGTATACGCATATAAATGTGAAAAGGAGGAGACGTCTTTTTTTCATCTTATTTATATATTTCAAGAATCCACAAATAATTCTCAGTTAATAATCTTGAATGGGTGATGCACGCGTTTTCGAGCAAAGTCGATGGAATGCTGTTTTTGTTATGTTGTGTAATTACCATAATCCATGGATTTAATCTCCAAGAAGCTCTGGATATGTCTGGATGTTTGGCGCTATGTAGAAATGTAAGTTAATTGAAATTTAAATGTATTATTCTGCTAGTAGTGCCATAGAGAAAAAGGTATTGAATTCTTATTATATTATATATTGATCTATTTCATCATTGATCTATTTTCTATTATTCGTCATAGCTTCGTCGTAGGATTTGTTTACGTCGTCTGTAATAATAAATTAGCTTAGGGAGGGGAAAGGAGGAATGCCGTTTCAAAAGTGTAACGTCATATGTATAAATTTTATTACGGAAAGATGAATGATGACGTTAGAGAGGGTAAAACTTAATTGTAAAAGCGTAAAATTTTATGCATGCGATGACGTATTAATAAATATAGAAATGCCTATATGAATAATAATAAATGATGTGTACATATATATATATATATATACACAATTTTTTAGAAGATTAAAAAATTGAGTTTTCTTCCTTAGACTTAAAAAAGTTTTTAAAATGCTTACTTGAAAATTGTCAATACCTACATTTTAAAAAGGTCTTTAAGAAATAGGTAAGTATTTCGTCCAATGGCTCATTTATTTTATACACAGTTTCATATTGGCATTTCTATACTTATTAATACGTCATCGCATGTATAAAATTTTACGCTATCACAATCAAGTATATAATATATATACACATTCCGATCTGTAGATTCCGATCTATTATAGATACATTTTTCTAGAAGACTAAAAAATTGAGTTTTTTCCCATAAATTTAAAAAAGAGTGCTTACTCTCGAAAATGTACGTTTTAAAAACTTTTAAAACTCTTACTCTTTAAGAAATAGGCCAATAATATTTCAACGGCCCATTTATTCGATACAAGCCTTGGTTCCATATTGGCAATTCTATATTATTAACACACAGAGACACATGTATATATGTACGTATGTAAACACACTCATCAATACACATTCCAACACATTTTAGATATTTGTTTTAACACCTGTGTCAATATCATTGAAAAGAGTAGCAGACAATATAAGTACCAACGATCTCGTAAGTGCTCGATTTGGCTGCAAAAGCGATACTCATTGCATACTTGTCATTTTTATAATGTTTGAAATTTTTCTTTCAAGAAAAAAGTGAATTTCTCTCTAAAAAGTTGCAACAATGGTAACATATTCAAAGCATCGATTTTTTACACAATATTTTCAAAAATTCTCAAATTAAACTTTGCTTTAAGTTTAAGCTAAAACAGAATGTAAATATATTTTAGAGCCATGTTAAAAGAGAAAAGTAAAGCGACAGACGATAGACTGCATAATGCCTTGAGTTGTTTTAAACATATTTATCTTCTTTTTCGCATTTTCTTTGCGCTTGAGGAAAGTACGTCATGCTTGCGAACTAATTATTATACGATCCCTCTTAATTAACGGATAATTCAGAATTTTTTTATTTTCTACAATTTAACGATTAAAGTTGGTAATAAAACTGTTACGAGTAAATTATCATTGTGATATTAACGTGAGAAATCATTTAAACAACGTTATTTTTGCACGCATATCAGGCGCGCGCTTCTCTCTTTGTTTCTACCTACATAAGGTATTCACGATTGCAAATATATATATATATATATATATACATATATGTATATATATATTTGCAATTGTGAATACTTATAATATACGTATTATGTAGTATATACATGACAATTGTGCCAAGAATTGGTATATATATAATTTGTACGGGTATATAAGTTTTGCTCGATGATCTTTTTAAGTTTTCAGCGCGTACCTATTACCTATATATACGCGCACACGAGCGGGAAAAATAAGCATAAACGATGATGCTTCGTAGTTTATCGTACGTTTAAACTGTACGTATAATGCACCTAGGCGAGATAACGAACGAAGCGATCCACGTGCGACGTGCGATGACCTTGCGTCAGTGCGTCAGGTAATCGCCGCGCTAGCTCTTATTATCGTCCTATATTATCATCCACAAGTATAACACACACACACACACACACACA